GAGTGCCGTGGCGTCAGCCTAGCTCACAGCAACCTCAAACTCCTGGGCTCAGCGATCCTCCTGCCTCAGCCTCCCGAGTAGCTGGGACTACAGGCATGCACCACTGTGCCCAGCTAATTTTTCTATTTTTAGTAGAGACGGGGTCTCGCTCTTGCTCAGGCTGCTCTCGAACTCCTGAGCTCAAGTGATCCTCCCGCCTCGGCCTCCCAGAGTGCTGGGATCACAGGCGTGAGCCACCACACCTGGCCAAAAAAATTTAGAAGCGCTGTCTCTTTGGTTATTTCAAAACAGCTCTCATACTCAGGAAAGACCTTGTGGACTTACGTGGCGCCTTGCAGAAGCTCACGGTATTTTAAAGAGACGACGGTCGAGGTTTAAGGAAAAGCGAAAGGCACTCAGCGCGGCTCACCAACAGGAGCATGCGCTTTCCTCTCTGCGTCCCAGGCGGGATCTGCTGGGTCCCTCAGGGATTTTCCAACCCAGGAGGCTTCGTCTCAAGCGCTGGCTACCAGGACCGAGGGGTGGGGCAGATGTGACTCCCGCTAGCCAAGGCTGGGACGAGCCACTGGCGCTGGCGTCCCTCGACAGTGAGAGCTCACGAGCTTCCCTAGAAACTCACCAAAATTCTTTACTTTTGGACCAGAACGTGGTGCAAGGAAGGGTGCCGTCTTGAGCTCCACATCAGGGATGCTAATCCCCGAAATACTAAAACAGCACAGTAAAGAAGGATCCGGGGAAGAACTGACATTTAGAGAACTGCTGCTCTGCAGCGAGCAGGTGGGGGCGGTGCTGGGAACGTGAGCAAAGGTCATTGTCACCGCGGCGGGCAGGGCGGGGACGCCCAGTCCTGTCTTACAAACCAGGAACATGTGGCGTAGCACGCGGAGGTCACGGCTGATGCGGTGAAGGGCAGATGTGAACCAATGCTCTCAGTCGGGCCTGCTCTCTCTACAGCCCAGAAACACGTGCACGGTGACCCGCGCAGCGAGCCCAGTTCACCCGAGCACAATCCGCTGAGCGTCTGCGCGCCGGCTCGGCCGACCGCGGCCAGGGCGGCGGAGGCTCCGGCACATTCCGTTCCCGAGGCGACACTCGACTAGGACGTGCTGTGACCTCAAGGGCCTCTTGGTAGGCAGAGCTCATGGTGGAAAAAACAGCTTTTAAATTTCCTCTCAACATGCAACAGCTGCAACTGCTAGACTGAAAAAAAACCAACCTTAAAAGCCTAAAACTAAATTGTGTGTGGGATGCTCTTACGTTTCCATCCCCAGGTAAACGGTTCTGTAAACAATGGCGTGGTAATCGGACTGCTCTTCCAACATCACGGCTGAAGAGAAGAAAGAATGTGTAGCGTTGGAAAGGCTGAGCCACAGAGAAGGGAGACCGAGGAAGAAGGAATAGCCGGGGGGCGGGAGAAGGAGCAGGAAAGAGGTTCAGGAGAGCCCGTCAGGACAGAAAGGATCGTTTTTAAGGAGCCATTGCGCATTTTGAGTTTTCACCCACGATACTGTACTCACTTTATATGTCGGGATATACGATTATATGTTTGCCACCTGGAAGGCACATTTATGTCACAATGTACCACCGGTTTGATCTGAAAGAAGAAAAAATAAGCCTCAGAATTTAGTTCAAATTAGCAAACACTCATTAAATACCAATTGCCTGCCCAGCACCAGCCCCAAAGCACAAATAAATGGGGTGTCCCCTTGCTAGCCCGGGGGTCAACAGAGCATCTCCAGAGGACTCGGGGAAAGGCGGACTGTGTGCCGGAGCGGGGAAGATTCCAGCAAGTGCAAGGCGACGTGAACCGAGGCGCAGGGCTCTGCAGCGTGCTGGGGGCCGGGGCGACAGGGAAGGTACCACGGAGGCTGTGCGTCCTGCCAGGGCTGCACCCGGGGACTCGTCCCCAGGTGCTTGCTGGCCAAACTCAGGGTCCCAAGAATGGACAAGCAGCTTCTGATTTTAGACCATGGGACTCGAGCCAGGATGTCCTGGCCAGCAGGCGGGAGCCCCTCCACGCTGTTGTCTGACCTTTTGCTGTGAGTGTGGTGTGAGGGGCTGAGCCAACTGCTGGCCTTGTTACAGCCGCCACCCCACGCCCTGTGGGGACAAGACATAAAGTAGGAAAAGAATTTCTGAGACCTGCCCCAGGTGGGCGAAGTCCCTCATCCTCACGGCCCCATGGTTTAAGAGTGAGCAGAAAAGCAAACACAGGGATTTTTACTGGGAGCTGATGTCAACCGCCCCAGCGCGGATGCTCAGTCCTGGCCCCACGCGCAGTGCCAGGCTCACCGAGGGAGCCCCCACCCCAGCACTTCAGTCCCGACCTTGCCCTGAAAAGCTGCTTCCTTGTCCCTGCCCGGTCCCTATGTCCCTGGCCCACCGGGCTGTCCCCTGTTTCAGCCCATCAGGACCGTCTGCCCTGGCTCAGCCTGCGCTGCAGCCCACACCTCGTCCTGCCCTCCCGGCCGCTCACCTGGACGGCGCCACGTTCTCTCAAGGGCCCCTACCCGGGTCCCGCTTCTCCCTCACCTCCCCGATGCCGCTGTCTTCTCGGCAGCGACGGGGCCTCCCCAGCCTCTGCAGGGCCCACATGCTGTCTCCGCGCCCCCCATGCCCCCACACCCCAAGTGCCCCACATGCCCCATGCGCCCGTTTTGCCTGGCCGCCTCCCTCTGCCTCTTCACCCCGCCCATGTTCCAAGGGCCACAGGGAGCCCAGTCCAGGCCACACACGCACTGACCGCCCCTCCGGCGCACCCCGCACCGGCACCAAGGAGAGCGTGGCAGGTGTTCCTGGCACCCACTCCCCTCCCGGCCCAGCCCTAGCCTGCAGCCCACAGAAGAGCTCCCAGGAGCTGGCGTCCAACACCTGCCTCTGCCCACCTGGGCACTGGGTGCCAGGCTCCAGAACAGCCCTGGTCCCAAGTCAGCCCCACGGGAGGGTCCTCCGTCCGCACTCCTCCGTCCCCTCCACTCCCAGACCCAGCCAGGCTTCCCAGCTCACGAACAAGACCACGGGACGGCCACTCGGCCCACCCATGCCGGAGGAGCTTGGCTGAATTGCCCCAAGATGAGCAAAGTCACCTGCAGAAGCACCTTGCCAAGCGCAGCAGCAGCAACCCACGTGCCCCAGCTTCACAAGGAGGTGGGATAACAGGTTGGAAAGCGCCGGCACCGCACGCTCTCCTGAGAACTGTGCTGCACAGACGAGAGGAGAAAGGCCTTGTTCTGGGTCCTCTGAAGGAGACAAGGGGGGCGTGTCTCGCAGTCTCAGAGGAGAGTGGGAAGAGCCAATATGCAGCTGCTAAGACCACTCAGCATCCCCCTGGACCTTGCGAAGCCTTTCGTCCAGGGAGAACTGGCCCAGAGGCCCAGAGCAAACAGCGAGTCTCGGGGGCAGCCAGGGAGGCGAGAACGCCACAGTCTTCGGAGCTGGACAAGCCCGGGTTCAAATTCCAGCTCCACCTCTTACTGCCCCTGTGCCTTAGGAGAAGCGCCGCGGCTCTGAGCGGCAGTGTGTCAATGTTGAGAATGGGACGAGAGCACCTTTCAGAATCGTTGTGAGGATTACGTGAGATAACATCCTATAAAGGGCACAGCGCAGTATCTAACACACGATAATAAATGTTCATTCCCGTAAATGTGAGAGTCCCGAACACACACACACACACACACACACGCGCACACACACACACACACACGCACACATGCACACACACACGCACACACGAGAAGGGGGCGGGCAGGAGCGTGTGCAGGAGGGGCAGAGGGGCCATTTCGGCATCTCGGTCCAATTACGGCACCAAGTGGAATTGCTCATTTTACCCACAGGCAACCGAGAGTCCCAGCCTTCCCCAGCTCAAGAAACGGCGCCACCCGAGACCCGTCTGTTCAACTACGAAATCTGGGAGACGTTCTTGAGTCTGCCCACCCCGCGCGCCGCACACCTCAGCCACCAGCGCACCTGCCTGGTCTACCTCGACGCACACAGCGGACGCTCGCTGCCATCTCTCCCCGACCCATCTCCTGCCACTCCTCCCCGCCTGTGACAATCCTTTCCTCATGGCCAGCAGAGGGGCCTTTGTAAACATAAATCAGAGCTCACCCTAACGTCCGCACCCTCACACAGACCCCGGCCCCGAGCCCTGGCTGCCTCTCCCCACTCTCCCCCTGCACCCCTTCCCGGCCTCCCCGCACCCGGCCTTCGTTCCTGCTGCAGTTCTCCAAACGCCAGGCTGTCCCCGCACGGGACCTGCGCCTGGAGTGTCCTCCCAGATCTCCTCTGGTTCCCTCGCTCCTGCGCTAGGAAGTCACTTAGACGTCAGCTCCTCAGAGAGGCCTTTCCCGACAGTCGCACGCCTCCATTTACGTTCATTACTGCACTTACTGCCGAATATGCTCTTGCTTATTCATCTTCTCACATTCTCCTGGTAGAGCGTGAGCCTCCCGAGAGCAGGGACCCCGGCTGCCACGTTCAGCAAGGGACCTCCAGGGCCTGAACGACGCGGAGCCCCTCGTAGAAGTCCGACAACCATTTCGTGGAGACGATGAACAACGGGGGATGAATGCTGCCACAAGTGAGAAACAGCTCTGACACCCTGGAAAGGACTCCAGAAAGCGAGAGAGCAGCCACGGAGTTGTGGAAACGCGCCGACGTCCATCGCCACTCCCGTCACAGTGTATATAAAATTGCACACACCGGCTCACTGACAGTGGGAAATGCAGCGCCATGAGCATCAACAACTAGCACGAATTCACAGACCTAGTCTGAAAACAAAACAACAGAAATTGTCCTCTGCAAAATTCTATTAAAATACAGCCATCCTGAGACACAGATTTCTGCTTGATTGCATAAAATTGTGGCAACGATGAGCTAATTGCTCTTTTGATGTGTTAATGATTCATTAACCCTGATATCACCTGCCTAATTAAATAACTCCAGCAATTAAATACACGATTCTGGGTTATCTTCTCTGTCTCCATATAATAATCTCCTAAGCAGGGTCGAGCACGTGTGTCTGGTGGCGATGGGAGCCTCCTTCCACCTGTCAGAGCCAGAGACACGTCACTCACCTGCCCTGAGAGGCTGCAGGACGTCATGGGCTTTAGCCCTCTTCACCCAAGGCAATTAAACCAAATGTGCATCAGTGACAGAAAACACTCAAGATTGCCACAGTGTGTCTCCCCGAGTAGCAACCACCGCCTGTTGAACACACACTACCAGTCAGGCATTGCCGGAGCCTCTCGAGGCCCGTTCATGCCTAATCCTCAAAATGACCAGGCAAAATACCCAGGTAACACAGAGAGGTTATGTAATCTTCCCAAGAACACCAGCTAAAAACTATCCTGGCCATGAGAAATCATCAAAAGATACTTCGTTGTACTTTTTAACAAGTTGAGAGTTGGAACCCATACCAACAGGGCACTCAGGAGCCTGTGTCTTCGTCCACCTGCAATCCCAGCACTGACTCGGCCACTTTCCAGCCGTGCAGCCCCAATGAACTTGTCTGACCTCCTGGAGCCTCGGTGGCCCCGTGAGTGCAATGCCAGCAACAGCCGTACAGACCTCGTGAGGTTGTCACCTCCAACACGAGTGCACAAATGCTTAGCAAATGCCTGTGGTGAGTTAAGTGCTCGATTGATAATAACTATTGTTGTCATTTTGTTGTGGTCTCAGGCTCCAAAGTCCCTGCTCTCCCCGCCTCCTCACGCTGCTCCAACTACCCTCCGTGAACATCCCCGCAGCCCTTTCCACGGAAAATATCAAACGAAGAGACGGCAGAGAATCCAGCGTCAAGAGTGGACTCCCCACGGAACACCTGGGGAGGATCTCATGACAAGTGATCTCCGATCAGGCTCTCGTGTGTGGCGCCAGGCGACGCAAACTGACAGGACGGCTCTGCTGGAGCTCAGGGTCGGTGCTTAGCCCGGGCGTCTAAGTGGGCAAATGTCCAAAAAGACACACGCGGCCACAGGTCCTGCAAACCTGATGGGAAGTGCAGCAGTCTTTACTTCCCTTGTTTCACTCGTAAAGAGAAAGGTTGCTACTGGGTCACTCCAAGGCAACTTCAAATTCTCGTGCTTTGATGCTGAGAGTTAACAAAACAATCAGCTTGACGCTCTCCCAGAAACGCCAAGGAACCTCACTAGGTTAGCCGTCCTGGAGCAGTGAAGGACGGAGCGGACAGAACGTGGGCCCCGGCTGGGGAGGACAGGCAGGTGCGGCCAGCACGTGGTTGGGGGGATGGGCTCCCGGTCACGGTGATACTTTCCATTTTGGGAAAACATTGCGATTCTTTTACATTTGGAAAAAAACTGGTGATCTGTGATTGACTTAGCTGGCTTCGTGTGCTTCCTAAAGTTCCATCGTAATTCCAAAGGCTGGGATTTTGCCCCGTCGGGAAAGCTGGGAAGGGAGCGGGGGTCACAGCTCACCCAGCCCTGAGATACCCCTGCCGGGGAGGTCCTCGTCTGAGTGACCTGTGTCCCTCAGGACGGTGCCTGAGCTGATCTGTGATGGGCCCCAAACGGAAGCCGTCAGCGCTGCAAGATCCTCGGGTCCTCCAGGCGACATTCCCGTGTTTCTGAGGAGAAGACGGAAGCCAGAGTGTGGTGACTTCCCCGGAGGCAGCGTGGCAGTGCAGGCAGCTGAAGCTAGGGGCTTGGTCCCCGGGCAAGAGCGTCTGCACCTCGCCACTCTTCCTACGTAGCACTGCAGCTGGGGTTTTTACATTTCAAATCCTACCTGTTCAGAGATTTAGTTCTTTACATTGAAAAATGCTTTCCCTTCTCTAGAGTGTTTTGAGTTGCTGATGGCAATTCACCAACGTTACCTGCTCTGGTGACACCGCTATGAACGAAAGACAGCAAGGACATGAAGACTATGCGGGGTGCACAGAGGGAAAACGAGGACAGAAGAGGCCTGGCGGGTGCAGGCGCGCGGCTCACACTTGACCAGGATACACTTTGCCGGAGTTAAGTGGCCCTTTCTGCCTGTGTGGTTGGATCACATACGTGACGAGTCAAGGCGCCAGTACGTGTTACCCCGTGGTGGGGAAGGGTCGCTGATGACAGCTCCCGTGGCCAAGGGAGGGGAGGCCACGTCGCAGGCTGGAGTCAGTGGAGAGTGAGGAGAAGAAAGGGAAACCCCGGGGAGCTGCTGGCCACCCACCCAGCCGCCTCTTCCCCACGGCCTGACACCAAACTGAAATCTCCACCCCTGAGTCGCTCTTTCAGCCGAGATGCTTTCTCCAAAACGCCTCTGGCAAAGATGCAGAGGAAGGAAGCTGGGCCTCAGTTTACCCAGCAGCAGAGCTAAGGCCTGAGCCCAGAGGGGCGAGGGAGTGTGGACAGAAGAGTGTCCCCAAGGGAAAGGGGGAGAGAGAGGGTGGGGAGAAGAGACACCCCACGGAGACGCTTCAACCTTACGAGGTCTGTACGGCTGTTGCTGGCATTGCACAAGAGCGAAAACAAAAACTGGAGCAGAATCAATGAAACAGAAAACAGGACAGGACACAGAGAAAACCAACAAAACCGAGTTGGTTCTTTGAAGAGATCAATAAAATCAATACATGTGGCAATATCACTTTAAAT